TGCTCCGTCCTCGGCACTGAACCAGGACCCTGCAGACTTCCCCACCTGCTCTGTCTCTCTCTCCCCTTGGCAGTGGGTACCTCACGTTCTCTCTTATCTTACCCTTCCTCACTCTCCATGTGAGGGAAACAGATGCACAGGGACAGGACAGTGGTCACCACCTGCCAGGCCTCACACGTCCTGTCATGGCTGTACTGCTGATTGTGGGAGTCGGGCTGTACCTTTGGAAGACACGTGGGAAGAAGAAAGAGGAGACGGAGACGGGAACAGGCAGGTTGTGGTTCCCCTTCAGGCCGCACCAAAGAGGCCGAGACAGACAGACAGACAGATTAGCATGAGGAAAACATGAGATGAGCAACCGGAGTACACAGGCTAGACGCCCCCTCTGAGGGGGGCATCACTTCTCAGAAGTTGGCTTTGAAAGGACAGTGAGGGGACTGCCGACAAGATGGCAGACACTGTGCACTGTTATCGTCTTATGCCAACCTGCAGAGGTGCAGTGAGGTTATTTATGTTCAGCTCGCCTCGCTCATTTCAAGGGAATGCAAACAGGGCAAGTCTGAATCATCAGGGAACTGCCCCTGGGGTGGGGAGACTGTGAGAACAGAGGCTCAAAAGTTACTGAAGACTGAAAATGGCACGAGATCATCCCAGGAATAAAAATCAGATCCGGTCAAGTTTAATGAAGCTGACATGTGAGTTACCTAAAGATGAACATTCGGAGAAACGCAGGACCACATGGAGTCCCTGCCATGTTACCGACTGACAGGGCGCCATTAACCAGTGATGCACGGTGGGTTTTTACGCTGAAGCCCAAAACTTGTCTGCCTATTTAGGCGGGATGAGTCTGTAACGCCACAGATCAACCAGGACTTCAGCAGGAACTGAGCTGAACTTTTCCTCTTCTCAGTCATGTCCACTCCTCCCCACACAGGGCAGCATCACGTAAAACCCATCACCCTCTCCTCCCACCACAATCTGATGTCCCAAGTGAATTCCAACTCTCAGTATGACCCACAAGACTGCGATCGTCTCTGCTCCGTCCCTGTCCTGCCGGCCGCAGGGGTGCTGGCAACTCCCAGGGGCTGGCTTTCTCCAAGGTGCCCCTTCCTGGAGTGTCGTAACCACCCAAAGTGTCTGGGAAACTCCTACGACTCCCTCCAGACTCAGGTTACCCATCACCACATCCGGTATTTCCTGTCCTCCCTCCTGGGTGACGAGCTCCTCGGGGCAACACCATCCTTGTCATCTCTCTGTACCTGCCATGCTGCTCCGTCCTCGGCACTGAACCAGGACCCTGCAGACTTCCCCACCTGCTCTGTCTCTCTCTCCCCTTGGCAGTGGGTACCTCACGTTCTCTCTTGTCTTACCCTTCCTCACTCTCCATGTGAGGGAAAAGATTCACAGGAACACGACAGTGGTCGCCACATGCTAGGCCTTGTAGTTGCTGTCCCGGCTGTGCTGCTGACTGTGGGAGTCGGGCTGTACCTTTGGAAGACACGTGGGAAGAAGAAAGAGGAGACGGAGACGGGAACAGGCAGGTTGCGGTTCCCCTTCAGGCACAGAACCCCCCGCACGGTGCCCCTGGCTCCCTTTGTCCCTTTGTCCCTGCACAGGGTGGTGGTGTGGCCGTGGCCTTGGAGGTCACGGCAGTGGGGGGTGTACAGGTTTCTGAGGCTCAGAGTCAAGCTTTATTTTGTGTGTGACTCAGGTGTGGGATTGGAGGAGGGCCGGCGGAACCATGAGGATGACATCCACTATGTAGAGCTGAGAAAACAAGAGCCCAAGGAGGGCGGGGACAAGGTGAGAACTGGGAGCTGTGCCACCTGGGCTCCCCCAGGTCCCTCTGTGCCCGCTTCGGGCTTATCAAACCCAGTCACCAGCCCTTTCTGGCCCCTCTGCCTCCTTACCTCCTTCTGGCGAGTCGACATCACAGTAAGAACGTTTACAGGGGACCCGTGTCGTGCGGGCCCTTTGGGAGACGCTTCCACAGTCACGTCAGCAGCACTGCTTCCATGCACGTCCCTGGGGACCCCTCAGCTGCTCCAGATGCCCTGTTTCTTACACTCCTAGGGCGTCCGTGGACAACATCTGGAAGGAAAGAGACCTGTGACTACTATCTACAGTGAGGTCCACAGGCCAGGCCCGGCCATGAAGGTTATTTAAGGGGAAGCAGCAGGAGAAGGCAGCACTCCCAGGCTGCCTCCATTCCCAGCAGGACGCCTGCAGACACATCCTCTCCCAGCTCTGCTCCAGCTCCAGCTGCCTGGTCAGCGTTACTCTGACCCTTGTGCCCTCAGCTCCCTGTCACACAGGACCAATGTCACATGCACCACTTTTTCTGCTAGTAAAACAGAATCTCTGGGGATGTGGCTACCCCCGCTGCCAGATGGGCCAAGGTCACTGGGCGGCCACCACAGAAACGCCACAGAGGTACAGAGACATGGCTTGCAGGCGCTGCGAGCTTCCTGCAGCCTCTGGCCTCAGTCACCACCACGCTTCCTGGGTCCTCCAGTCATGGGTCATGTCGCCACTGCTCCGATGTTTCTGCCACGTCCACAAGTTCAGTCCACCGCCTTCAGATGTACTGATGGATGGCTCTCGGGGGTCGTCCTGGGCTGTGCACAGGATTCTTTGTTGGGCTATGGATGTCCCAATACTGACTGTGGCTTAACAGGGAGAGGCAAAGGGAAAGACTCAGGCTGTCCCACTGCTGATTCTGCTTTTCCTGTAAGAGGAAGGGCCTCCACCAAAGGATGCTGATTCCGGTGAGTAGGAGCATGACACCAGCGTGGTACCTGGCTCTGAACAGGCAGAACATGTGCTAGGAGAGCAGCTCTAAACCGAATCGCTGCCAGATTCTATCAGAATGGTACACACTTCCCACCTTGCACCCCAGCACCTCCTGGCTGAGTTTATAGGCACATTCAGGGTCGATGAGCTGTTCCCCTCGAGGAAAGGGCCACAGCCAGGAAGGACCATGAGGTTACATGACCATTAAAAGTGTCCCAGAGAGGGCTGGCCAGGTGGCTCAGTTGGTTCGAGCACAAGCTGAGCAACAGGTCACCGGTTCGATTCCCACAAGGGGCAGTGAGCTGTTCCGAGCTGAGCTGTCATTGAGCTGCCAACAGGTGGCAGGATGGCTCAGCTGTACAAGCTTGCCGGTTCAACTCCCACATGGGATGATGGGCTGTGTCGCCCCCACCCCACCCCACCCCCGCCCCCTGGTCTCCTGCAACTAAGATTCAACTCAGCACATTGAGCTGAGCAATCACTCAGCTGATGAGCGCATGTGCTCTTAACAACAAGGTTGCTATTTCAAGTCCCGCATGGGATGGTGCGCTGTGCACCGCCCCGCCACTATTGTGTCATCAGAAAAGTCACAATGTACTTTTCTATGTTTTTCATTGCAAAAATGCATCGACTTTTCCAACGACCCAATAGACCCAATAGTTTGAAAAGCGGCGACTAACTTAGAGCTGATGGAACCTGGAAAAACACATTGTTCCCCTTCCCAAGTCAACCAAAACTGTTTCCTTCGCCAATCCCCAATAAAATCTTAGAAAAAAAAAAGTGTCCCAGAGAGAAGAGCTCTGCCCCCACATTAGCAAAATGAGGGAGTGAGATGTCACACAGGACAGACGCGCTTAGAGCCACAGTAACTGTTGTGCTGGGTCTTCTTTCCCACCTATGGAGGGAATTTGCAAGGAGCTATGCAAATTTTCTGAGAAGATGTAATGAGACGGAAAACACTTTCTTCTCCAAAACCCCAAAGAGGCTGAGAAAGACAGACCAGCATGAGGGAAACATGAGATGAGCAGCCGGAGTAGACTGGCTGAACTCCCCACTTTGAGAGGCACCACTTGTCAGAAGTTGGCTTTGAAAGGACAGTGAGGGGACTGCTGACAAGATGGCAGACACTCTGCACTGTAATCTTCTTATGCCAACCTCCAGAGGTGCAGTGAGGTTATTTATGTTCAGCTCCCCTCGATCATTTCAAGGGAATGCAAATCTGAATGCAAACAGGGAAGGTCTGAATCATCACGGAACTTCCCCTGGGGTGTGGAGGCTGTGAGAACAGAGGGCTCAAAAGTTACTGAAGACTGAAAATGGCACGAGATCATCCCAGGAATAAAAGTCAGGTCAGGTCAAGTTTAATGAAGCTGACATGTGAGTTACCTAAACATGAACATCCCGAGAAACGCAGGACCACGTGGAGTCCCTGCCGTGTTACTGACTGACAGGGCACCATTAAACAGTGATGCACGGTGGGTTTCTATGTTGGGTTGAAGCCCAAAACTTGTCTGCCTATTTGGGCGGATGAGTCTGTAACACCACAGATCAACCAGGACTTCAGCAGGAACCGAGCTGACCTTTTCCTCTTCTCAGCCATGTCCACTCCTCCCCACACAGGACAAACCCCAGACAGAGCCCCTCGTGATGAATCATATATGGGAACTGAATCAACAGCTTCCCAGAACCATAAACAGCCACTGTCCGGCCTCACTCAGCCCTCATGACTGATGAGCAAGCATCTCCCTTGGCCTCTTCTTCCTCGTTTGATTTTTACGGTATCCAAAAGAAAATTTAATTTCTCCCCCATGCGGTTCACGGAACCTGCCTGTATTGGCTCAATCAGCTTTTACGCATCTGCAGTCCTGAGCACTGCCCATAACCAAGTCTTGTCTGGGGCTCTGTGATGGGGGTGAGGGGGCGAGAAAGGGCACGGATGGTAGGGGAGAGGAGGTCTTTTTCCTGGACAACTTCTATTTGTCAAGCCAACAAGTTAATTTTCTAAAAGGTGCTCAAATTCACGAATCATCATGGAAAAAGAAACGAAACAAGAAGCCAGTTTTCATATATCAAACTGATATTCAGGATAAGAATGACAGTATTGGCAAGGCTGTGGGAAAACAGGAAGTCCCATGCACTTTCAGTGGGAATGTAGATATGCACAGCTTTTTGGGGAGCAGTTTGTCAATATATAAATGTACACTTCACGTTGATCTTGAAATTTTACTTCAGGAATTGAATTTCACAGGAGGAAAGCTGTATATATGCTCAAAGAAACATATTAAAAGGTGTTATGGCTGAAACTGCTGGTGGCCTACCCATTCTCTATCCTCTGCCTCCCATCTGTGTATTTGGTGGTAGTGAGGTGCCTGACTAAACACGGACATTTCCCAGGCTCCCTTGTCGGACAGGGAGGGCCAATGAAATGTAAGCAGAAGTCACTGGGTGGGACTTGAGGGAAAGCTGTCTCGCCCGTCTCCTCCTTTCTTCTTTCTGTTGTCTGGAACGTGGACGTGATGGCTAGCATTCCAGCAGCTATTTTGTGACCTTGACGATGGGAACCACACACTAAGGATCAGAAAAATACACGGAGACTTTCACTTTCTTAAATTTTCCACATCCAATTCCTGCCTCCGTACATTAGAATCCTTAACTAAACCTCTTTTTTTTCTTAAAGAAACTTGAATGTGAGCCCACTTTAGTACATTCCTCTCAAGCTGCTTAAGAACCAAAGTGTAATGCAAATAATTTTACATTTCTGGAAAATCAGACACAAAGTATACAAGATTTAGTGACTAGAAACTATACAGAACTCCAAATGATATATTTTAAAAACTGGGAAGTAGTAGAGAGAGAGAGGAAAAAATAAAAGCTCAATTCTTAATGACTATGGGAAAGGAAATATATAGCATTCTACTCTTAGCATTTATAATTAGAGGAAAAATAGGTTCAAGCTCTTTTTTATCAATTTACAGAAAGGCATTAACTAGTAAAATTAAAAACAGGGTGTTCACCTTCAGCATCATTGGGAGGTAGAGAGGACAAAGAAATAGAGTCAGATTCAGTGTTCTAGAAACTTTTCATGGCAGGGTTATGAAAAATAAGGTAAAAGATTTTAAGCTGAGAATCCCACCATATGTATGTTTACTGATTTGTGAATCTCCATTTTAAAGCATACGCCAATAATTAAAATATAGAGAAATATGAGATATTTGTATCCATGAAATGAACAATACTTTAACACGTTCTTGATGGCTTCATGCAACCCTAGCCAATAATAACCCCTCAAGACAATGTGCATTTAAGGTAAGACTTATTTGCGTAAGATTTATTATTCACAGTTGTGGAGGCAAGGGCGTATTTCATGTGGTCTTAAATTTTTTTGGTGACTTTTGAGTTTTTTAAATTCAAGCTAGGGACGTTTGAAGAGCTTACACCAGATGCGGGAGCAGGGGCAGCTCATCCGGATGCTTCAGCCTATGGATGTCAGAGGAGACATTTCTCAACAACTCTGCCCCGCTGTGCTGGTTAGTTCAGTGCTATCCCTGCCCCCTAGACAGGGAGCATCTGACCTTGGCCTAGCTCCCTGAACAGTGCTGGGAAATGTTCCCAACGGGGACCAGTGTCACAAGGTGGGGTGCTGGTGACATGCTGCCCATGCAGTTGCCTTGGGGCTCAACGGCAGCAGGAGATGACCGGCTGGGAAGGGAAGTCCCTCTCAGTACCCAGGCTCAGGTGTGTGCA